AGCAGCAGAAGTGGAGCTGCGGGAGACAGACTTCGCACAGATACTCCTCAGCCAGCAGCAGCAGCAGCAGCAGCAGCAGCAGCAAGCGCAGCAGCAAGAGCAGCAGCAAGAGCAGCAGCAGCAGCAGCAGCAGCAGCAAAAGGAGAAGCAGCAAATACACAGAAGTGTCGTCGGGCTGAGGGGTCTCCCTGGCCAATGCATGTGCTTCGATGAGCTCCCTCTAGCTGCTGCTGCTGCTGCTGCTGCATGCAGGAGCAGAAAGGGGTTGAGAAAAGCAGCAGCCAGCAGCAGCAACAGCAGCAGCAACAGCAGCAGCAGAAACAGCAGCAGCAGCAGCAGCAGCAGAATGTATTCAGATGTGCCAGAGATAGCTGTAGCAGCGGCCAGAGCAGCAGCAGAAGCTGTTGTTGCTGCTGCTGCTGCCGTTTCTGCTGCTGCTGCTGCTGCTGCTGCTGCTGACAGAGACTCCAGCGCATCCTCCCCTGCACCCTGCCCACCCACAGCAGCAGCAGCGGCAGCAGCAGGAGCAGCAGCAGCTGCAGCAGCAGCAGCTGCTGCTGCTGCAGCACCCGTGTACGCAATCCCCCGCTGCCCTGGGGCCTATCTGCTGCTGGGGGCGCTGCAGCTGCAGCAGCAGCTGCTGCTGGCTGATGAAGCGTTCTCTTCTCTGCTGCGGCCCCCAGCTGTCTGCAACCTCTGTCAAAACCTGCAGCAGCAGCAGCAGCAGCAGCAGCAACAGCAGCAGCAGCAGCAGCAGCAGCAGCAGCGGGGGGGCAGCAACGGGAACGGAGACTCTACAGCAGAAGGGGCTCTTCTTGCTGCTTCAGAGGCAGCAGCAGCAGCACGCGAAGCAGCAGCAGCAGCAGCAGCAACAGCAATAGCCGCAGCAGGAACACCAGCAGCAACAACAACAGCAGCAACAGCAGCAACAACTGCAGCAGCAGCAACAGCAACAGCAACTCCTGCTGCTGCTCCCCATAAGTGCAGCCGCTTGCTGTGGCTGCAGCAGCAGCAAAAGCTTTCAGATGCGGAGCTGCTGCTGCGCATGCCCTGCAGCAGCAGCAGCAACAGCAACAGCAGCAGCAGCAGCAGCAGCAGCAATCTGTATCAATCGGGTGAGCAGCAGCAGCTGGCGTGTGCTGCAGCAGTTTCAGGTATAGATGAAGCAGCAGCAGAGCAGCAGCTGCTGCTGCTGCTGCTGCCGCCCCCTGCTAGCCTGCGTTGGTCTTCTATTGGCTCCCAGATCTATAACTGGGGCTCGCGCACATACTATAACGAAGCGCAGCAGCAGCAGCAGCAGCAGCAGCAGCAGCAGCAGCAGCGGCAGCAGCAGCAGCAGCAGCAGCAGCGG